CTCTTAAACAAACACATTGAACCAACATTTTTATAATCACTTTCCAGATTATTCCACAATCTTATTCCTTGATCTGAAGTGCATCGATCCTTCAAATTAGTTCGAATTTTAGGTTTTATAAACATCTCAAGTCCCTTAAGTTTATATAAACTTTCCCTCTTAACAAAATATAACTGAATGTTTAAAGGTAATTTTTTATGAGCCTTATACATGATCTGCAAAATTTTAATAATTTCAATTTAGAAAATAATATATTTGATGGATGACAGTTATGTTTTCTGGTGATAATTCTGACGGCTCTTTCCTGTAAAATAAAAGTAGGATTTGTGATTGTTTTGCACGCTTTAACCCAGACTTCAACACAGTAAATCAAGTGTGGTACAATTATTGCATTATATAATATAAACGGTGCTTTATCATTAAATAAGTCCCTTACTTTGTATAATACTGCAATGGATTTGGCTAATTTTGCTTTTAAATGGTTTATGTGAGATTTCTATGTCAGCTTTTCATTAATGATAATGATAATTTTTCCATTGCTGTTTTCAAAAAACCCAGAAAATAACAAACATGGAAAATATTCAGTTAGCGAGCCCTGCCTCAGACAAACAAACACATACACACTAAATAAGTGTCAGCAAGTGTTTATGAAGCGGTCTCTTGTATAAGTCTTGGTCAGGCTAACATTGCACAGAGACCTGTGATGGTTCCACCGTAGAACTAAAGACGTCACAGCTCAGCCTGAGAATCTGCCTTTGTGTTCTCGTCTCAGTCTTCCATCCGGTGGAATGTTCTTATTGCCGGAGTGAGAGCATGATGGGTTTCCGGTACCGGTGCCAGCAGTGCCATGGCTACCAGCTTTGTCAGAGCTGCTTCTGGCGTGGCCATGCCAACGGTCCCCATAGCAATCAGCACCAGATGAAGGAGCACTCGTCTTGGGTAGGTGAAACCCCCTGCAATCAAGTCTCAATTAAACCCAGAGTTTCTTCAGGGTGGGCATTTGACATCAAAGCAGTTTTCACTCCATACCTTTAATGTTGTTTACAAACGGAGACAGATTTGATGGGATTTTACTCTTGTTGAGAAGGAAATTAGATTCATTGAACTTGCTGTTTTACTGAATAAACCCCAAAGCTGTCAGTGTCTTGAAACACTGCAAGTAAAGTGTGCTGGATCCATTTATTTATTTATTTTTATTTAATTAGGAGTAAGGGGTACATTATAACAGGGACCACAACACAGCGAATTACATATAAAGATGAAAAAATAAAAGAATATTAGCACAATGGTGATACTGTGCTCCCTGATAAGTTCAACTGGATTCATTTCTTATCTTATTTTATGATTCACACAGGACAAATTACAGCTCATGCACCTTCAGGAAGATAATGAGTGTATCTAATACTTAATCCTGTTTTCTTTACATTCATGACATTTGCAGCTTTCCTAGTTTTGGGTAAATTAAGTGCATTTGAAGTAGGGCTGTGTATTGGCAAGAATTTGGCGATACGATACATATCATGACAGAGGGGTCACAATACGATATATCCCGATATATTGCGATACTATAAGCAAGGCGATATATCGCGATATATTGCGATACTATAAGCAAGGCGATATA